TTCATCATTGCGGGCTCAGAGCTACTCTGGCAGAATTGAGAGGTAAGTATTGGGTGCCACGAGGACGTCAAATAGTGAAGAAGGTGATCGGTAAGTGTGTTGTCTGTAAGAGACATGGGGGTAAGCCTTATGGAAAACCTGATGAGGCAGGTTTACCGGACTTCAGGGTGCGGGAGTCACCACCATTTGCTAAAGTTGGGGTTGACTTTGCTGGTCCGTTGTATGCAAAGGAAGGTGGTAAAATGGTGAAGGTGTACATAGCGTTGTTCACGTGTTGTGTCACGAGGGCAGTTCACTTGGATTTGGCAAGAAATCTTAGTGCGCCTAGTTTCTTGAACTGTTTGAGGAGATTTGCAAGCAGGCGAGGGGCACCGACGCTTATTGTTTCAGACAATGCTAAAACTTTTAAGGCGGCACAGAAAGCAGTGAAGAAGTTGTACGAGAGCGGGAATGTGAGAGCTTATATGCAAGATAATTGTGTGAAATGGCAGTTTAATTTAGAGAAAGCGCCTTGGTGGGGAGGATTCTTTGAAAGGTTGGTTGGTTTGGTGAAGAGGTGTTTACGTAAGGTGCTGGGGAATGCCAAGTTGACATTCGAAGAACTGTTGACGACTTTAGTTGAGGTTGAAGGCGCGTTGAATTCTAGACCGTTAACCTACATTTACGAAGAGGTTGAAACGATGTGCTAACACCGAATCATTTGATCTTTGGTCGTAGATTGAGTTTAATTCCAGACGAGACAAGGTACAAAATTGAAGCGAATGATGCAACAAAGGTTAAGCGTAGGCATCTAGCGAAACTGCGAGTTCACTTTTGGGAGAGATGGAAAAAAGAATACTTGACAAATTTGAGAAAGCATCATAAAGGTAAGAGGGAGAAGAGGGATAGTAATGTGAAGAAGGGAGATGTAGTTTTAGTATTTGACGAGAATCTTAAGAGAGGATTTTGGAAGCTAGGTAGGATTAAGAGTTTAATTGTTGGTAGAGATGTAGTGGTTCGAGGAGCAAAAGTGAGAGTGATGACTAAAGGAAATCCAGTATATCTTAATAGACCAGTTCGGAAATTGTATCCTGTAAATTTAAATGAGAACGGAAGCAGTACGGAAAAAAGAAACGATAATAAAGTTGAAAATGAAATGGATTGGTATGATAACCAGAAAGGAAAGACAAAAATTAATGAGAAAGGAAAGACGGAAATGAATGAGAAAGACGGAGAGAAGGGTAAGGTGGAAAGCTGTGTCCATAGTAATAGACCTAGGAGAGCAGTTCCGTTGGATGCACGTTGGAGAATACAAGTCATGTTTGACCCTTACAGCTCAAAGGGAGGAGTGTGTAGAATAATATGTAATACTATATTATTGATAGCGCCATAGGACAACAAGCAATACTTGATTTAGTCAATTGACGTAAGAAATGGATCATATGTCATAAATAGGATACTTCGAATTGATTGTCAGACTGAACGCACGAGAGAAACCAGAAGGATTGTTATATGTTATATATTTTATCGTTTGAATAGCTTTAAATAAATATGTTCTAAAGTACGCGTGTGTGTTCTATTTCAGATGGTATTGTTCTGATAGTATACAGTCCCCACGAAGCGCAACTGTCTTGCGGTGTAAGACAGAAAACTGCAACAATAACTTCAGCCCCTTTGGACATATCGTTTTTGTAATAGTCTTAGACCCCGTTTACACGGTACCGGACGAATTTGGGACCGGTCTGAAATTCGTTCTTTCTCGCCTGTTTACACGCGAATTCGTCCTGTTAGGGGGTCTCAAATTCGTCCGGTTCCGTGGTTTTCGTGTGTTTGCACGGCCGAAACGGACGAATTTTAGTTCGGTTCCAAATTCGTCCGGTACCGTGTAAACGGGGTCTTATTCGAACCAGTATCCAAAACATTATTTAGAGTGTTATTTCCAAGCTTATGTCTTCAGATTTTCATCTTTAATTTCGGTAATTGGTATTTACAGAATATTTCTATTTTAGCGCGGCCCGTTAAACCTACATCGGAAAAAAGGGCTGTTTTGTGTTTACATCCTAGGGGTCTGAGAAAACCGGTAATCGGTAATCCTCGTTAATTTACACGAAGTTCATACACAAATTATCACGTAATGTTATGTAATAACAATAAAACAAAACAAAAAGTGTAAACATTATTTAATAAGGTGGCATAGTCCTCCAAAAAGTGACTGTGGGGACATTTTGGGGCTCTGCCGCAATCTGACAAAAAGGCAGCATTCACTACCGCTAAGGTAACCTAGTATAGTTTTAAATAAGCATAGCATAGTTCACCATGTATAATATAGATATACATTACAGGACCTCCCTGAAAAACACTTCCGTAAGTTGAGCTTCCTGAATAAGTATTATTACTATTATATTATTAAAATTGGGGTGCGAATTGAGTTAGCGTCCCTGTACTATATAGAACAAACTTGTAAACTTTGTCAATATTTCCGCATAGATTTTTAGCAATATTCTCCATACCTTCTGTCTGATTGGCTGATACCTCACAAAGAACATTGATTAGGAAATATGCAACTACGATCAACATCATTTCCTGTAAAACATTGAGAATATCAAATATACAGTAAATGAACTATTCAGTAATTAATAATCTATATACAGTAATCTATATAATCTATATATGATTTCAAATGAGCCCACAAATTAATAACTTTATAATATGCATGCTCAGACTCTCAAAGCACGTATCACAGATATAATACTCAATTCAAACCTCATTATTGGGTTTTTCACTTTTTATGTTAATTTAAACTTGATCGTATAATCGCGATATTTATTTCCTAGGGCTAATCTACTTGTATTTATTAGTTCCAACAAGCGCTAAAATAGTAGGGTGGCCGCAAAGATTGCTCCATTCGCAAAATCTATGGCATCTATAAAGTTTAATATAATTATTTTTCAAAATCAAGTAGAGAAAAGTAAAACAAAACAAGTCATTTCTACTGTGTTTTGATTATTTATGATAAGTGGACGGCCACTGGCGGTTTGAATTTTACTTCTTAAATTCATTATAATTGGATCCCTGTGGGGAAATGGTTACACAATAATTTAGCATGCCCTATGCCGTATATTTACAGCGGTCAATTAAAACTAAAATGCGAAATGTCTTAGTCCAAGGCCGCTGTGCCCAAAGTTTAACTTTAATAACGTCTGAACGCAAAGGTGACACTCATGCAGGTATGCATGCTTGAGAATTTCCGTATGCGTCAGTATCAGTATCAGTAAAGTGAAACGTTCAGCGGTTCAAGGCAATATTGTCAACCCAACATCGTCCAAGACTGCAACATATTACATACGCTGTTTGAACAATATTTGTGTTGGCTGGTGTTGGAAAATGCTGGATTAGGTTTAGCCAAGGTTTGACATTAAAAACTTTCACTGCAGCAGCATTGTCCAACATTGTTGCAACAGCAATTCTGGGCGGTGTTGGAGTAGTCTGAACGTGCCTTAACATCAATATGTTGCAAAATAATACACAGCTGGATTTGAAATACCACATGTAATTTTCACGCTGAAAGATTTCAACTCACACGCTTGGAGTTAAATTTAGTCACTTTACCACTGGATTTAATACGCCGTCGCGGTCGCTGTCAGTATAATGTTCCCCCTAAAAATCATCCACTATATTCATCAAGTCTTGCAGACAACCTTCTTTTATACTCTAAAGTAATAATTTATTCAACATTGACGGTGCAAAATGTAATATGATATTTTTAGCTTAACTTAAGTATGTAAACTATTTATTTTACAGTCTCACTTATTAAGAGGACACTTCATGGAACATTAGGGCCATTTATACGAGACAAAATAAGACGCGACTTACATAAGACGCGACTTAAATAAGACGCGAGTTTGTCGTATAAAAGCACAAAATTCTTATGTAAGCGTCGTCTTGGATAGGACGCGACTTAAATAAGAACAGGACTTTTAGCTGTTCTTATGTAAGTCGCGTCTTAAATAAGAAATTTTGGACAAACATTCTAACTACACATGCCCGAAACTTGAAACAACGTACACTTATTAGCCTTGCATATTAAAACAAAAACAACCGTAACAACATTATAGGCGATAGCAAGTAAATAAGAATAAAGCCGTGGAGAACCATTTATGCGATAACTCCGCTTATTTAAGTCGCGTCTTATGTAAGTCGCGTCTTATTTTGTCTCGTATAAATGGCCCTAATGTGGCAATATTTAATCTTTATATACCTTGAAGAGGTTGTCAAGTCAGTGCTGCTCATGCGCGTGTTTTGGTTACATTTTTTGTGAAAATTTAATTAAAATTCCGATCTCTGGGTCTCCAAGTTAGCTCATTACGCATTCAGAATATATCACGAAGGAGAAATTAAACTACTCTGTGAACTACTGAAGCAAACATTTAGCCCCGAAACACCAAATTTTAAATGGAAAACGCTAAGAAGCACTTCTTACAGAGGTATGGACATAATTTGATTGAAATTTGCACACATTCAGCTCCAAAATGACAAATTCAAGATTGAAAACTGATGTTAAGAAACACATCTTTATAATTTTTAATCTTAAATTTTCAATCTTAAA